CAAGGTATACAGTAGCCTTCTGTATACCTTGAAGATCATTACACTTTTTCCTTTATTTTTTCTCCAAGATATACAGTAGCCTTCTGTATATCTTGAAGATCATTACGCATTTTTCCTTTAATTTTTCAAGATATACAGAAGGTTACTGTATATCTTGAAGATCACTATGCTTTTTTCCTTTAATTTTTTCAAGATATACAGTAACCTTCTGTATATCTTGAAGATCATTACACATTTTTCCTTTATTTTTTCTCCAAGATATACAGTAGCCTTCTGTATATCTTGAAGATCACTATGTTTATAAAAAATAAAAAAAGACATATTCTTTGCCAAGGTAAATAAATAAGACTCAAGTTGGTCTACCAGTTCTATAATAATAAATTAAAATGTACATGGTTTCAATCTTTGGAGTTAATTTTTTTTACATAATAATAATAATAGATGTATTATTTAAGTTCTAATTTCCAAGCTTTAATTTATTTACTTTTTAAATTACATAATTCATTTATAGAAAAGTATTAACCTCAACTTTTGCTTTTTTTAAATGAGTTCATGAAACAGATCCTGATTATTAATTGGTAAAAATTATTTTTATTATTATTTTTTTTTTACAATAAACATTTTACCTAATATTAATATAATATATATGAAATAGAAAATTGTATCAAACAAAAATTTATTTTTTTTTAATATTTCAAACAAAAATGAATTCGCATAACATACTCTTTTCAAAGATGGCTATTAATAAAATGGAAATAATGTCAATTAATTTGGTTTTTTTAATTATTTTTATAAGATTAGTTCATACTATCACTAGTTTTTTTTTCATACATTTGCTATTATTTTTTATAAATATTAGAAGTGTAATGGTAACAAACTACCTGTTAGTACTAATGAAAAAAAAGAAATGATTTGAATCAAATTCCACATAATAAAGATAATAATGTTGTTGGTATTTTTGAAAGAGGATATATGGTGTTTTGTGAGGTTAGATCATTAAATAATAGAATTATTAGTTTTTGGATTTGTCAAAATGTAATTTAATTGATAGAAGGATAACATGAAGGATAAATTAAGTAAAAAACCAAAGAATATCTAATACCATTTGCACTAAAATTACCATATAGCAATTTTTTACTTTGAAAATATATAATATTTCTTCATTTCAATTCCACCACTAGGTTTATTTCTGGAACACTAGTTCACCTTCTTCAAATTCACCAAAGGGTATAATCACACACAAACTGTTACCATGATCCTTAGCATCATGATAAAGATCTGTTAATGTTGAAGTTAATAGCTAACATGGTAAATGTATTGAACAGTTTTTTCACCTATAAAAGTAATAATTATAATATTAATATTTTCCTTAATATATATAGGAATATAAATAATATTCACCTGTTATTTTAATTAATGAATATATTTTAATCAATAAATAACATATAAATAAAATTTTGATTAAATAATTACATCATCATTTTTTCCTACAGGTAAAATTTATTAATTGAGCTTCAACAACTTTGTAAAATTTTTTGGAAAAATGAAAATTATGTGAATTTCAAATAGTGTAAAAGTGGTACTTATTTGACACGGGGTACTAATACATCACCAGGAGCCAATGTGATTTCATGATTAGTCACATTGAAAATCATATATATACTAATTTAGAAGGTACTGTATATCTCAAAAAAAGTACCCTTCTGTATTTAGGTACTCCCTATAAAATATATAAAAGAAGAAAAGGTTTCTGTGTTACGGTGCCCTACTAAATGTTGTAATTTTTCAGCAGGTGTAATTACATATATATCATCATTATTATATATAAAATAGAAAATCCGACTCGTGTAACAAATCAGTTTTTTAAAATATCTCATAACAAATTCAAACATCATTATTAATCAAAGATAAAACTATGACATTATAGCTTTCTAATAAGCCCCCTCCCATATTTATAGAGGCTCTTTATGTCAAGCTATATTTATTCAAAAACAGCATTACTTTTTACTTCAAAGCTAAGATTTTTTACCAATATTACTTTTACAAACTTGATGAGTGGTTGAAGAGATGTAAAATATTGTAAGTTTTCATTTAGATATAGCTTTATGTGGATTGTTGTTTATTAAAGTTTAGTGAAAATGGCAAAAAACTTACCAAATTTTGATAAATTTATTTATCAATACACAAAGGAAAAAATTGTGGGCAGGAGATTATCAGTGAAGTTATTATTGAAAAGCCTTGTCCTGTATGTTTCATCAGAATAATTCCTAATAACATTATAGAGTGCTCATTTGTTGCTATTATATGTATTGGAGTTCACAATCATCCACTTCCTCCACCTGATAAATTACCAAATGGCATTAAAAGTAACTTGCAAGCTTTAATTGAACAATCAATTGATGATAACGATACCACCACACCTGGTTCAATTTTGTCAGGTATTAATTGAGTTTTATTTCTAATCAATAATTTATGTCAATTACCACATTGTTAAATTAATTTTAATATGCAAATTGATAGGAATTTAATCAAAGCTTATTTTGATAAAGAATGTCTACCTGAAGTACATTCGTCATTAAATAATACAGTCCCCGGCGAAAGTAATGGCGCGTAATTTTTTATGAATAAAAAATGTACTTTATTGTAAATTTAAAATTTTTTTTTCTTAAAGCCAAATTGTTTGGCTATAACTTTTATTATGGTGTTAGTACTTGGTATGAGCTCCTTCAGCATCAATACACGCTTGAACCCGATTTTGCATGCTATTAACTATGACGTTTTTTCGATTCCCCCCTAATAATACCGATAAATTTATTTTTCGAAACCTTTTTTTTTTGCTATCATTTTTTTGACGTGTTTCTCAACATTATGCTTCAAAATAGCCCATATATTCTCAATAGGATTGAGACCTGGGTTATATGAAGGTCAGGCGAGAACACGTCTTGGAAGGCGAGTATTCAGATCATTCATAACCTCCCTAGGTGTATGCTTAGGGTCGTTATCTTGCTGAAAGACCCATCGGCCACCTAATAATTCATCAGCATTATCGTAAAGTTGTTCATTTAAAATTTTACAATATAGGTGACGGTCAAGGTTTTCAGTAAGATATAAATACCGACCTTCCCTTTAAAATTGATAGCACCCCAAATATGAACCTTAAGGGGATGTTTTACCATAGGCTGTACAGGTTTCTTTTCACGAGACCACGCTAGCATCGTATTGCGAAACAACTGGATAGTTGTTTCGTCTGAAAAAACAATTTTCTTCCGGTTGTAATGCACATGATCTTGTGCCCATGACAAGCGGTTAATCTTTGCTTGTTCTGATAGAAGAGGAACTTTTCTGGGAAGAGTAGCAACATAACCGAGGTTGGAAAGCTCACGGTGAACAGTTCTCTCACTAACTTTGAGATCTTGGTATTTTTCTTCTAAAATAGCTTTCATTTCATTCTTGACGATCATTCCGAGTTGGACTGTCTAATTATGCCAATTTATTAATTCTTAATACTCATTATCATATAATATTAATTCACTGTAGATATGGTACATGTGTTTTAAATGTTTAATTTTTTGGAGCTGACAACAAAAGCAATGGGTTCAGTTGAATATTTTGTTAAAAAAATTATACCAATTCACCAGAGAAACATTTTATTATCACAAACTTATCATCACAGTAATTATTCAATACATGGAATTCAATTACCTTCACCAGTTGAATTAAATAATTAAATAATCGATTTAATTAATAAACTTAGTAATTAAAAATAATATCAGTAATAGCTAATTAATTATTTGATCATTATCCTAAAATTTGATTGAGGGAATGGAATGCGTGAAAGGGAAAAAGTAATTAAATAGATTAATTAATGTTATACAATAGTGTATATAAATATATATAAATATATAAGTAAAAATGAATAAATAAATAAATGAAGGATTTTTTTGTATGTGTAATCTAAGTGTGAGGAGAGTGTCTTTTGAATCTATTATTTTCAAGAAACAACAATCATGAAAAAATATTTTGTTAAAATTTCCTAAAAATAAAAAAATAATTATATTAATTAAATTATCACACACCACCAACCACTGTTACCATCATTACACTTACATATGTTAAGAATATTATTGCACTTGACGGAGCAGCTCTAGTAACAGTTATCACACATCCTCTATAAAATCCTTTAATTCCATCAGCTTTGTATAAATCTTTTCCTACTTTAATAAATCCTCTTTTCTTATTGCCTGATTTACCTATTACTGACAAAAATTCTTCTTCTGTTTGCATTTGACTTTTAATTGAATCAGCTGGGAATATTAAAAGGTTATAAACCATTCCCGCCAACGCTCCTGATAACATAAGTTCGGTAATACCTAATTCATTTTTATATTACTATTACTATTACTATTATCAGCAGCATGAAGGAGAGAATGTTCTTTTCTTTTAATAAATAATCTGGTGGCATACTCATATGTACCAAACCATGCACCACCCCAAAAGTCTCTTGTATAAATGTACCAAAATGTCCACAATAAAATCCTTTTATACCATGTGCCTTTAATGTATATTTGATAACTGATAATGGACCTGAATAATTTAATTGGTTATTATTGACTGTTATTGTTGGTTTGTTAGATTTACTAATAATGTTATTAATGGAAGTGTTTTTATCTAGAGTATCATAGGAAAAAGTCTCTTGAACTTGTAATTTACACTTGACCAATTCTATTGGTGTTAATAAAAAAGATGTCAAAACTCCTGATAATGCACCAGCTAAAATTAATTGAGTCATTGATAGAGGAATTTGACCAGCATCTTTTTGGTAATTATTATCATATAACAAATGCCTTTGATCTATTGGTGTTGTATGCTCTCTTATCAACATTTGTATATGATTGTATGCCAAAAACAGTGTTGCATTCTCTAATATTGCACCGATCATTGGTGATGATAATCCCTGAAATGATATGCGGGAAGGTAAATTGAGGAGATGTATGGAAAGAGTATAAATGAAAATATTTATTATTTTACAAATAATAAATAAATCACTTTTCGATTTATTGTACACACATATTATCTAGATAATATATTAGGTGTAATAATACCCAATACAATCCCAAAAATCCATCCTTACTTATAGTTTTTTTAAAACAATCCAGTGGACCATTAAATAATTTACGATCTGATGGCTGGGATTGAAGACGTGTCTTGACAGTGTCAAATGGATATTCCACAAGTTTTCCTGTCATTCCTGAAATCTGATAATGATATTTAATTCATTGATTTGATTGAAACAAATTATGTAAAGGTAAATTGGAATGGAATTTAAAAACTCACAGAGCCAAATATTAAATTCTTTATTCCTTGTTCTGTTTTAATATTTGAGGTGGCCTTTGTTGAGGTTGAAGAGTCTTGAGATACTGATACATTTCCAAAAAGCCTTGCTACAACTATAATATTTGAAATAAGGAATAAGAATGCATTTTTTTACTGATAACAAAACAATGATTAATTTACCTTTTTGAGTTTCTTCCATAATAATAAAATTAAATAATTTTTTTTGAGAGAAAGAAAAAGAAATATTTATAATTTTTTTTTTTTTTTCAAATAACAACACAACAATAGTACATATGGAAAATATGGAAAATTTCTAATTCCCAATTAATTAATTTGTACTTTTTGTATTTTCATTTAATTAGGCGCGTCCCAATTTCAAATTTAGCCAACTGTGAAAAATGCTGCTAATTATAAATAATAAAATTATTACTTAAAAATCATTCTAAAGCCAATAAATAACTCGATAAATTTAGTTTTTACTTTCAATATTTTTAGAGATAAATTTTGTTAAAAATTAATTAGAAAACGGTTATATTATTGTTATTCTTATTATTTCAGTATAATTTTAGTTATTATTATTATTATTATTACACTACTTTTATTATAATTATTTGTTATAGTGTGTATATTATTTGTTGTTATTTAATATGATACATACACAAAAACAATTAAGAAACATATTTCTTTACTATTTCTTCAACTTCAGGCCAATTATCTGTTGGAAGCTTTATAATATCACGTTTGAAATGTTCTTCAATCCTTTTAACCAACTCCCAACTTGTTAAATCATGAACAAAATTAATAGAAACACCAGATCTACCAAATCTACCAGTACGGCCGATACGATGTAAATAAGTCTCATAATCAGGATTTCTACCACTGTAATCAACTGGTAGATCATAATTAATCACCAAGTTCACTTGTAACACATCTATTCCACGTGCCAAGACATTTGTTGTAATCAATACTTTGGCACTGCCTGACCGAAAACCATCCATCACTTGATCTCTTTCAATAGTTGATAATCCAGCGTGAAGATTGATAACTCTACGATTTCTTTCTGTCATCAACCTTGCTATTCTGTCAGCAGTTTCACGTTTCTTTTTTTTTTTTTTTTGAAAAAAAATATTAAAACATTAAAAAATTATTATGGATTTAAAAATTTAGATAATTTTCTTTTGTGTACAAAAAGAAATTTTTACCTGAACAAAGATTATACTTTGACTAATTGTTAATAAGGAATATAATTCATCTAATACAATAATTTTATGATCTTCATCTGTACAATCCACATAAAATTGTTTAATGGATCTAACAGATAATTCCTCGACTTTTAAACTAAATTCATTTGCATTTGGTGCAAATCTACTAGCAAAATTACGTACTTCAAGTGGGTATGTAGCGGAAAAAAGTACAATTTGACAATTTTTAGGCATTATGCTGTATAGTCATTTCATCCATATATATATATTAATAATTATTCCCCTTTTGAATTATATATTTACAAAACGTAATATATTTCATATACATACTTTTTTATCCTTATACTTTGATCTCCTAGACCTTGTTGATCCAACATATTATCAGCCTCATCCAGCACAAATATTCTAAAAAAATGTTTTTCTATGATTTGTCTTTTCAATAGATCATAAACTGTACCAGGTGTACCAACTATCAATTGAACACCATGAAATTCACCCAGTCTTGTTTTAGTTACTCTAGGTTGAGATTCTCGAATAGCTTCAGCAGTGGCCACTGATGTGTATTTGCCCATTTTTCTAACTTCTGTCATAATTTGACGAGCTAATTCTCTTGATGGTGTCAAACAAAGTGCCTTTTTCATTTTAAATAATACAAGTTATAATTAATTAATTAACAGCTAATAATTTAATTAAGTAATTTCTAATAATAAATAATATTTAAAATCTTTACTTGTGGTTCTTTTAATCCAGGATCTATTCTACTCAACATTGTTAAGACAAAAGCCGCGGTTTTACCAGTACCAGATTGTGATTGACCAATCATATTTTGTGGTCTTAGAAAATGTATATATATTTTTTCTCATTAGTAAAATAGTAATTAATAAATTAAAGCAAAGTAGCAGTAAATAATCAGTAAAATATACACGGATCCTTGAGTAATAATGGTAATGCTTTGGCCTGAATTTTTGATGGATTTGAAAACCCCATTTCATATACACCTTTCAATAAATCTGCGCTCCTATAATTTATATTTATATAAATGTACGTATTTACAAACATTTTATAATTAATATTTAAA